CACGTGGTAAAAACCTAGTTGGGTGTAAATGGGTGTACAGAATTAAACAGAATGCCGATGGTACTGTGGCCAGGTATAAGGCCAGGCTTGTAGCAAAGGGCTATAGTCAGGAAGAAGGTATAAACTATGGAGAAACATTTAGTCCTGTGATTAAGCCTACAACAATTTGCCTTGTTTTTGCTTTAGCAGCTCAGTTCAAATGGCAACTACCGCAATTGGATGTCAAAATGCCTTCTTACATGGTTTTTTACAGGAAGAAGTGTATATGGAGCAGCCTCCGGGTTTTCAAAGTCTTAATCATCCTTCAACTTATGTCTGCAAGCTTCAAAAATCGCTCTATGGACTTAAACAAGCTCCGAGAGCTTGGAATGATAGATTCACCAGTTTTCTACCTGCATTGGGTTTTAAGTCTTCACATGCCGATTCCTCCTTATTTGTTCTCCATTCTCACCATGACATTGTCATATTGCTGCTTTATGTTAATGATGTCATATTAACTGGAAGTTCGTCTCAGTTGATTTCTCAGGTCATCAAAGAACTCACCACAGAGTTTGAGATGAAAGATTTAGGCAATCTGCATTATTTTCTGGGGTTGCAGATTAGTCACACAGATGAAGGATTATTTGTTTCTCAATCTAAATATGTTACTGAGCTTATTGACAAAGTGGATTTGCAGGATTGCAAACCCTGTGCTACTCCTTGTTTGCCCTATCACCGACTTCTCAAAGATGATGGCAAGCCTTATCATAGCCCGGAGCAATATCGTAGTGTGGTTGGAGCTCTTCAATATCTCACCTTTACAAGACCGGATATAGCCTTCTCTGTCAATCAAGCATGTCAATTCATGCATAATCCTATGGAGTCCCATGTCATTGCAGTCAAACGAATTCTCCGGTATCTTAAGGGAACTTCAAACTATGGCATTCATTTTAAACCAGGGCAAATATATCTTCAGTCCTATAGTGATGCAGACTGGGTCGGGGATCCAAATGATCGAAGATCTACCTCAGGGTTTGTCATTTTTCTCGGCCCTAATCCTATCTCTTGGGCATCGAAGAAGCAACACACTGTGTCACGATCGTCCACAGAAGCAGAATATCAGGCCCTCGCTATCACAGCAGCTGAACTAGCTTGGATAAGGCAATTATTTTGTGACCTCCACATTTCTCTTCCTCAAGCACCGATGCTTTACTGTGACAACCTCTCAGCTATCTCTTTATCTACCAATCCTGTGTTTCATGCAAAATCTAAACATATTGAGATTGACTATCACTTTGTCCGTGAAAGGGTTACAATGGGTGATCTTCAAGTTCAACATGTTTCATCTGCCGATCAATTTGCTGATATACTCACGAAGGGTTTGTCTGCACCTATGTTCCAGCAGCATTGTGGCAATCTCTGGCTTAGTTCCATCACGCATGAGATTGAGGGGGGATGTAAGAGTGTAAACAAACACAAAGATGAGAATTCAAGTGAAGAGAGTTCAAGGGCCTAGATGATGACAAGTGTCACAAGATCCAAGGGAAGTTATAAGGATGTTAGAATCTGTTAGGATCTGTTGGTGGTTAGAATGTGTAGTTAGTTTGTTGAGATACTAGCTTATGCAGTAAGCCATAGATATATAACTAAGATGTAAGAAATGTAAACATTCAATGACAAAAGAAATATATCAGAAAGTCTTTCTTCTTCTCTCTCTTTACAATTCTAAGTTTTCTTAATCTTCTTCGTTAGAACTACTGCTGCTATCTTCACAAAATCAAGTCTTGGATTTTTCGTAGGCAAAGACTGGAGAGTTTATAAATACAAGGCTCCAAGACAAAAAAAAAAAAAAAAAAGGTCTAAAAAAATCATTCTGCCACCCATATGCTAAAGATCTCAAGCCCCCCAAGGCAAACCCTTGCGGCTTCCGTTCATCTGAGATGAAGTCATCACAACCCTTGGATCAACAACAATCCTACACATACACTTACATTCCGGAGATCGAATCAGATGATTCAAAATTATAAACAGAAATTGTAAACCCTACATTTACACTAATACAAAAAATTATTTTGTGCATGTGTTTTTGTTTGATTTGTCATATGAAATTCATGTTTACACTTGTCAGTATAAAGAATTAAGCCAAAAATTGTTTACTTAAATAAGTGAGAATATTATTAACCGCTAGTAGCTTCCTCGGATCATCACGGTAGTAACAAATCGTACCTAAAGGCTACTAGAGCTATAGCACAAGAGCCCAGGACCCAAACCAAGGGGCACCATTCCAACAGTATCTTTTAAGCCCGTTTGGATCTAATAATGAAATAAAATTAACAATCAAGACACCCTTTTCCCTCCCGCCTCCCTTCAATTTTCAATTTCCAAGTCAAATTTAAAAGACCATAAAGTAATTAGTTTGATCGCAAGAATACATATGAAATTCTTCGAAGAGAAATTTTATTTGAACTCGTATAATCTCTTTCTACATTTATTTTAAACTTTAATTTAAATTGTCTATTTTACTATATTGCATAATTATCATCAAGTACGAAATGAAATTAACAATAAAACTACAACTTATCAATAAACTCATGCTCTATAATTAAACCCTACCATCACCCCTTGTTTCTCCAAATAATCCATGTAATGGTTTCATCTGGCCTTCTAGTGCATGGTTGTTTTGTTTGATTAAGTCACTCCAGATACAGTACCAAGGGTGAGACGGGATTCATTCAAGCCATGAATCTGGCAATCACTGAAACATCATCTACTTCTGGTATGGATAGAGGGGTATATTTCCCCCTGTCAATTGGATAAGATTGTGTCAACCTCACGCAAGTAAGTGCTGATCAACTGTACAGGGCATTCGGGAGCTGCACTAGTCTTCAAGGTCTGAAGCTATGAAAAATGATTATTGATTAAACCCTACGGAAAGATATGAACACACATTAAATCAAATAGCACTCTTCCATACATTACTAAAATCAAGTAAATTTGCGTATCCCATAAAAATACAAAATAACTTGAATTAGCCCTATGTCATATCCATGGAGAAAAAGGGCCATACTTCAGTAGGTGGTTTGATTTCAACTTTGTTGAGCTCTCTCCAAAAAAAACCAGTGCATGGTTTTTATAGTTTCATAATTTAGTTTAGTGAAACAAAAGTTGAAATATTATTGATTGTAACCGTATCATAATATGCAAGGACGATCATACTGCGTAGATTATGAATTTGTCCACTTTTTTGTAGTCTTAACTTGAAATGGACTTCTATTTGCAAATTTTGGGTTTGTATTTTCTAAATGGGTGTAGAGATAAATTTATAAATTGAATTAGGTTTGTGAGGGTAGTTTAGGTAGTAAATTTGACTTTAAAGAGATATTGATAGTTTAATTAAAAGGAGTATGAGTGAAAAGAGTAAGTTAGGTGAAGAAAGAGATTACATGAGTTCAAATAAAATCTCCATTCTGCTAAAGTTTCTCCTCCCTTCCTTTCTCTTTTTTCATAATCATCCACAAAAAATTGCAGTCCAAGTGAAAACTTCAAGTCTACTTACCACCATACATGAAATTATGTTCGACAGTACGAGATATTTGATTTTCCCAAACCTACCCTATAAATATAGAGAGACACCCATTTTTTAGCATACATTTTATAGAGCTCACTCCATAGCTTTTTTTCAAAGATCTAAACCATCAAAGATCCGAACCCATATGTGTGTGTGTGTATGTGTGTAACTTCATAACATAACCTCATTATCTAAAAATCATTATTCAGCCTCATCTTTACAAAAAAAAAAAAAAAAAAAAAAAAAAAAAACCTTAGTGAAACTGGCAATCATTTCATTGTTTGATTGTTCTTGTGAAAATTTTCTTTTGTTATAGGGAAATTGTATTGATTTATTTGATTATAGTTACATGACTAACTGTTGTTTGATTTGACTAATTTTTTTGCAAGTATGATCTTCAAATAAAGGTTTTTAAAATGATGGTTCGGAACTTCGGATGATTAGATTTTGTTGTGGAGTGGGCTAAGTAACTTACTTTATATCTTCAATAGGTACATTGAACACTACATATTCACAACTAAGCCAAAAGAGTAATAAAAAGAACTCAAGCCTTCTCTGCATTCTGATTGGCCTTCTCTTATTCCCCTGAACTGTATATGGCTATAGGCAGATGAGAGAGAACATAGGGACAAGGGTCTTGGTGCAACATAACTAAGAGAGTCATTCCAATTTAGAGTGAGACAAAATGGGTGAGCACGAGTGGTTCAGTGGCTAAGCCAATTGATCAAATGATGACTGCTTCACTTATCAGATTAACCTTAGCCGCATATCCTCCCCGGCTAAGTATCACATTGTAAACCCCCACCCCAATTCTATCTTCCTTATCAATGAACTGGAAATAGTACATAAGTACACTTCACTTCAATGTTGCAGGGATGAGACGACATGGCATACTACGGTCATGTACATAACTGCTGCCCTTCGGCTCAACAATATACAACCCTTCAACAACTCTCATTCCTTTATGAGGTCCTATTGATGTAACGACCCGTCCAAAATTTTTATAAATTTCAGAACGACAAGGGTAAATTGGTAATTTCACGTGCAGGAGATATTTGCATGCTTGTCTTTTATGGGATTGTTTAGTGTGCCATGTGGGATCTGCATCCCACTCAACCTTTCATCCTCTCTTGCCCGTGTCCCCTAGACTCTCGACATTCTCTCTTTTCCCCCCTCACTCTCTCACAGACTTCTTCTTCTTCTCTATCGAGCTGAGACCCAAGACCCCCCCCAACAACTCGCCATTCCCTCCGATGAGCACCACAAATCCACCATCATTCGTGGGCTTTCTCCCCCCCTCATTTTCGTGACTCTCCTCCTCAAGCTTTACTGTTCCTCTCTCTCTATCTGTGAAGCATAAAGACACCGAACCTAGCTCACCCGCCATGCCAGCGATTTCCACCTTTTTCGATTAGGTGAGCCTCGAAGTCACTCTTCTCTGTCTTAAATTGATGTTTGAGTTTGATTGTTAAGTGGTATACTCATTGTTGTGAAGGATTAACACGAAATCAGCTTGGGGGTAATGAATCCAACTTCTGGTGAATGATGTAGTGACTTGCAGGCCTTTTTTCGGCCAACTCCTGCCATGGCCAAGAGCACCAGTGGTATATTTTTATTCCTCTCATTCGTAGCTTTAAATCCATATATGGCATGCTAGTTATACTGGTGAAATGGAGTTGATCGGACTTCGTTTAGCTTCCTGGCCATTTTTGTAGAAATTGGCCGACCCATGGCCTGAAACTGGGTCGACCAGACCCGCAACCCAAAACCAAGCCCAACCTAGCAACCCAAAACCCAGATCTGATCCAGATCCAACCCGACCTGGAACTGATTCTCTGATTTCCAGGGTCGATGCGTGGGCGTGCGTGGAAAGCTGTCATGGCCGACGCATGCGGCTGCCCATGAAGGAACCCGAGGTCTATCCTTAGGTTTTTCAACGTCCTAAATCCGTTTATGACGTCTGTTTTCCCAAATTCAATCGTTTTAGTAGAGTTTAATTAATTGGTCCCCCTTTATGTGCTTATGTGCGTTTGTTAGTGGCAACCCCATCTTCTCTAGTTTGCACAGCTCTTCGACGACGAAGTATCTGTGAGTGGACCCCTTCCAAAATGCATTATTTTAATTACTAAAAATGCATACATGAAAAACATGATTTTATGACTACGTTTCATGAAACATTTATGAGTAAATCGGATTTATGAAATATCATGCTTTATCAAATTTATGTTTACTGAGATATTTATGAACATGGATTTATGATATGATGTTTAAGCTATTGGGCACCGATGAGTTATATTTTGGAAAGATTATGTTCATGATTTTCTGTGCTTACTTAGTGGTTATTCACACTATGTGCCTACGGGCAAATGATACTTATATAGGACATTCGGGCGGGCAATGTAGTGCCTTCAGGCGAAAGATATTTATATACGACCTTCGGGTGGGCGATGTAGTGCCTTCGGGCGGAAGATATTTATATACAACCTTTGGGCAGGCGATGTAGTGCCTTCGGACGGGAGATATTTATATATGCCTTTGGGCAATTGTGATACCACTACTAAGTACTAAATATGATATATGTTTTATGAAGGATTTCTTGGCATGCTAGGGTTTTTGGAAAACCTATTACTTATTATGCAATACGAGTTTTCATAAACTAGGGTTAGTACGTTGAACAATAATTGTTTTAGTATTATATATATATATAAACTTGGTCCACTCATGTTTTGTTTTGCGCCCCTTTCAGGACTTAGAATCGAGCCGTACAATCCTGGTGTCAAGGCACTCCCTTGTTGGTATCTTCGAGGTGTAGGACCTATTCCTTTGTTTGTACATTTTCATAATTTTCCTTCTACAATATTCTTGATTAGTGTATGCTTTGAACACATTCCTACTTTTGCACATTCACTATTAATAAAATTTATGTGTTTTATTTACGTTCGTTCATTCTTCATATTTTTACATGCATGTTAATATGGCTTAATCACCTTCAGGTGTCGACCAGCACGTGCCTTCCCTGGTGTTTGGAGGATATCGGGGTCGAAGGTGTCAATTGAGATAGGTATACCTAATCCTTTTCCCCTCCCTCCATAAGAACCTATTTCTCTTCCCCCCTCAAGAAAGAGAAGGAAGATAATCACTCATTTCTTTTTTCTCTTCTTTCATGTGAACGGGCTCAATACATCAGTTAGTGCCATATTGACTTTTACTAATCAGTTCGTTCTTGAGTGCATTCATGTGTGTTTGTGACAATAAGCGATAGTGATTTTTCATTAATGCATAAAAAAAATTAAACAAAAAACACACACATACACACGGTTGCCCTTGGGTACAATTTTCAGTGACCGTATTATTTATATACAAATAATTTCCACGCACAAGCATAAAAATCAATCTCGTAATTGGTTACCACAAGCACAATCACCAACGTTACTAACACAAGCACCACCTATACAGGTATCCCACAAAGAATGAATAAGGTACACGATCTTTCATTCATCTTATCATTTTTAATTAAATTTGTTGTCGAGACTATTTCCTGTTATATTGTTTTATTTTAGGATTGTAATCAGGTAATAATTAATTTGAGTTTTCTTAGGATATCTCTAATGGAGAGGAAGAAAAGTCTAAAAGGAAAAAATTACCTGATTTGTTTAAAAATTCATCTCCAACCGATAACTGGGTTATAATTTTATGGAGCACACCAGACCATTATTTGGCCAAAAGGGCAACACATGGCCAAATGTAACCCCCCCCCCCCAATCTTAGCTTTTTTTTAGGGGCCTAGCTCCTCATTTGTAATAATTTATTCAAATTTGACGGCTAGATTTGAAAACATCCAACAATAATGTAATTAAATTAACCAATAATTTAAAGTATAAACTTAAAATTAATAAAATATTGAGGGGGCTATTTAGCCTATCCGGTGGAGATTGTATATGAGTATGGTTTGATATTGTTCATTTAAAAATAATTTTTTGCAAGGCTATAATTTTGGATGGGGTTATGTTTAGCCTTTTCGATTGGAGATGACCTTAGTTTGAGGTCATAGAGGGACCGGGTGGGGGGGGGGGTGTTCCATGGTGGCCCTGGCTCCTTCTAATTGGTTTGGGTGGGAAAAAGGTACGTTGGATTTGTAGCTACAATCTCATTCCTGATGTGTAGTCTGGCTTGCCTAGTCTCTTATGGTATATGTGTTAGAAACCAATCAAATGTCACTTATACAATATATATAATTTGCATAGTTTATTTTGAATAAGAAATTCAACAACAGATACAATAAATATCAAAATATAAACACTTAAGTAAATTGCATATGAAATCACAAATCACTGACTTGTTCTTTGAAGATAGAGGCTTGCAAATGCAATCACCTAAGACAGAAATTTGCCCCTACACCCATGCAGTAGTTCAATGGACGTCTATCTTGCAGGATACAACTATCTAATCCAAGTTCTTGCACTCGAACTTGGATTCTTGGCTAATTGGTTGTGCACTTCTCTGTGTAAGATGGAAAAGGAAGCGGTGGAAATTTTATATTTTAGTTTCTGATCTTATTGCCATATATATAATGGCGTAACTTGAACAAATGTAACCGTTCATTCTTAACAGTTTTAAAACGGACATACATGTTCAATTAGTTTTATCCTTTCAGAAAAACTGAATCCAAAAAATAAAAAACGTAACTTGTGTTTTTCGTCCATCCAAGCCCATCTTTGACATTTAATATATACACCCAAACCCTCCAAGTCTAAGGCCCAAGGTCCATGGCTTTGGCCCAATTCTTTTCAAACTATAAGTGAGTGAACTCACTTATAAAGGTGACTTGCAATAAAGGTTTGGGCGATGTGGGACTGCCTCACAATCACAAGTTCCAACAATATCCCACATTTTCTATTCAAACTCTAGCAATACCCCGCATTTGAATAGAAAATAAGATACTAACTAAATTAGTAACGTTTTTCCAGAGAACTTAGATATGATACGCATTGGGATAGGTGTCTTTTGGACTTGAACCTTCTCTAGTGAGTACTTATCGGATTTACCTAATGAAGCAGTGAATTTAATATCTTGAACTGATCATTCTTTGTAGTAAATCGAAGGCCCATCTTTGACATTTAATATATAAACTTAAACCCTCCAAGTCTAAGGCCCATCTTTGACATTTAATATATACACCAAAACCCTTCAAGTCTAAGGTCCAAGGTTCATAACTTTGGCCCAATTCTTTTCAAACTATAAGTGAGTGAATTCACTTATAAAGGTGACTTGCAATAAAGGTTTGGACGATGTGGGACTGCCTCACAATCACAAGTTCCAACAATATGTGCTATGTTTTCTCCCTTTCAATTGCAGTATTTTCTAATCGTCATATTACCATTCACTAATCCTTTATTTAAATTAAAAAATTTCTTATTATTGTGAATGAACTTGGTTAGTTTGTAGAAGGGGAAATTGTGTCACCAACAAAATCTGCTTTTGACCTCGCGCGCAGGCAACGTTACTCGGAACAAATACATTTCACTATGTATTTCACAAGTCGGAACAAATATATTTCACTATGTATTTCACAAGGTAAATTAGTGGAATGTTGTTTGTCATAGGCCTTAATTCTTGTAGTGAATCAGCTCCTAGAATTAAAACATTTTTCTAGTGGCGGTTCTTTTAGCTAAAATAAAATATGCGCCAAAAATTGAAAGCAGGTACGTATACTTTTACCTAATCAACACCAAAGAAAATATGTAAATATTTCTCATTTTTTTCATCATTTTTTTCACGTCAGGAAAGGTTGATTATGATGATAGGCATGCACAATTCCTCATCCGGAATGTGAATTGTGATAAACAATTTTGCAGCACGATATTGGACGTACAACCACCACCGTCATCACTGTGGAAATAGAATTTAACTTTTGGAAACGACATGAAACTCACATTTCAACTAACGCCCTTTCTACTGTATCATAATTCGAAACGCGACTTACTATCCTTCACTGGTACTAGATTGGGTTATTTTTTCAGCATCTTTTTTGAAACAAAGCAACTTGGGTTTGAAAAATAGATGCTGAAAAATACCCCGACCTAGTAACGGTGAAGGTTAGTAAGTCGAATCTCAACTTGCGTTATAGTACAAGGGGGCTTTGGCTGGAATGTGAGTAAGATGTCGTTTCCAAAAGTTCAATTATTTTAAGATTTTAGTTAAGTTGTTTATGTTGTACATATTTGCATTGCATTTCTTTAATGTTGTACATATCTGTTGCATTGTATGTATGTGGGAAAGAACCCACTAGCATGTTATTTCTTTTAAATATCTTTTTGTGTAAGTTGTTTCATACGTACTGATGTAAATGACAAGTTTGAGCTTAAGGTGATCTATAATGGCACACGTGGTAACTTGTTTCTCAACTGCAATAGCTCTTGTTCTTCCACCTTCTTACAGGTCGATTCAGTGCTCCGTATGTAATTGGTTTGAAACCCACATTATCGCACCCATTTAGCTAACCGTGGTTGACTAATAGAGACATTATGAAGAGCATCAGTGAGAAGTAGCTTTAGGACAACTCTTAAAATCATAGGTTCTTTGGGCCATGATTATATGATTGTTGTCTTGTGCAAATTATGTTGGATCTTTCTACATCAAGCCATATTGGGCTATGTCCACCAGCGAGTCTTTTTGGACTTATGACGAGTATTTGGGACATGTTAAGCCTGTTTAGCCCATCAACTTTGGTGAGAAGAGTGGCCTAGCAAATTGGATTGTGGTAACCAAGCATGTGAAGCATGACGAGCACGCTGTGTGATTTTCAGGGTGACGTAACCCTTATCATTTTTACCTCAAAAAAAAAAAAAAAAAAAAAAACCCTTATCATTTAATGCTTAGGTATGGTTTGGCATTGAAGTGCTTAAAAAAAAAAACTGCTTATTTTCAAAGTTTTTATGTTGAAGGTGTTTGGTAAACTAAAAAAAAATGGATTATTTTGGAAGCTGCTATGAGAATAAGCTAAAATCATCAGAAAAGCTGAAGCAGCTAATTACTACTTTAGAAAACTAGCTTTTTTTTCAAAGCATGCGGAGCTACAGTGCATCTTTAATGAAACTTTCTAAAGTCCAATAACATCCTCTATCTCATTGTAGCTCTGCTCCCTAGCATCGACTGTTTGCCGAACCTGATTGTTTGACATCTCCAGACGGGTGAACTCAGTCGTCAAATCATCAATCTGCTTCTACATCCTCTTCCTCTTCTTCTCGTCTACCCGTCGGAACCTGAGCTTGATTGGTGCTGAACCGAAGACATTTCTTCCTTTCTTCGAGTAATTTACCCAAGAATTGCAAAAATTAGGAATTGATGTTTGTTACCTAAATTAGATTAGGGTTGAAAGAATTGGGGCGAAAATAAAATTAGGATTGGGATTCGAATTGAAGGCAAGGAATTGATGCGATTAATTCACTAGAAAACGTAGAACCAGTAGTGGAAGATAACAGTGAACGAGTGGAGCAGACGGATACGAAACATAATGTCATAGAAAGACTAGACCCATTGATTTAGACTTCTACGAACCCAAAATTTCTAGGCCCCCAAATCAAATCCGATCGAATTGGATTTTCAAGAACCTCAAAAAAAACCCCAAATTAAGTTGAAGGAGGATTTATCTGAAAGGCAAACGCACAACAGAGAAAGATAGGCGAAATGAGATGGAAGGAGAAAGAAGGTTAATAAAAGAAAGATGGGAGACTTCTAGAGAGACTATTAATAAATAAAAGACATGGATTATTAATAAATGAAGATGGATAAAAGAAAGATAAGGCTGCTTTATACATTTTTTTGTCATTTCATACAGTCACAGCTGTTTTACCAAACACTATTATATTACTTTTTTTCCAAAAGCACTTTTACAAAAAAAGTTACCAAACACTCTGCTGCTTTATTTTACAATTGTTTATTCTCACATCACACTAAAAACAATTTTTTTTCAAAGCACAACAATATCAAACTAGCCTAAGTAGGGTCTATGGATATATGATGAACCCTTTAGTGTCAGAGGAGGTTGGAACAAACATCCTAGGATAGATCCTTAGATTCTTTCCGTTTACACTAATCACAACGTTGACTGTTGAAAATTTCGATGCTTAGGATATCTTCAGCAATGGTTGCTTTCGACTGTTGGTTGCTATTTGTTCTCTCCGAGAGGTAGTTGTTTGAGCGTCAGGTAAGAAATAAGAGTACTTACACATACTATTATTGGAGCTGAGCCGACTTAAAAGGATGATAGGATGCCCCATGCTTAATCCAATCATAACGCTAATTGGATTGGGTCCGAGTCCAGCGAGAAGGCAATGCAAATGTTTCTTTGACCAAAGCTTTTTTTGTTTTTTTGGACAAATTCTTTGACCAAAGCTAAATATATGTACTGTAATATAAGTAAGTGCATATGTTTAAATAAATGTACTTAAGTATATGTATAGAAGTATGTTTAAATAAATATATGTACCGAAATATATGTATCAAGACATATGTGCAGAAATATATGTACCAAAGTATGTGTACCAAAATATATGTACTAAAGTATATATAATGAAATGTATGTTTTGAAGTATGTGTACCAAAATATATATACCATATTTTATGTACCGAAACATGTGTATTGAAATATATGTACCTAACTATGTATACCAAATTTTCCTTTAGAATTTTTGCCAGTAATGGTTGGCCAGTGAAAATTTTCAAAGCTTAAGGTCCTGTGTTTCAAAAGAGGTGCTGAAAAAAAAAAACCTTGAGCTAATACCTTATGAAGGATGGTAACTCGGATCTCGACTTATGTTACATTACAGAGGTCGTTGGTTTGAATGTGAAGATGTCGTTTCCAAAAGTTCAACTATATTAAGATTTTAGTTAAGTAGTTTTGTTGAACATATTTGCATTGCATTTTCTTTATGTTGTACATATATGTTGCATTGTATATATAGATACCATGTTATTTCTTTTAAGTATTTTCTTTGTGTAAATTGTTTGATACATGTCGATGTAAAACCTTGTCACACTGATGTTGACACGCCCCGACCGTAGTCAAGGAATGCTGGCCGTCACGTGAACGTGACGTAGCCATGTGCGCTGTGCGGAAGCGTTATATTATAAGGAAAATACGAATAAATTAAAACCAAATACGATAGGTTCTAATTTGAGTTTAAGTGTGATTACATAACCAGAGCATAAAGTCTAAGTGCAGTCAAACATAAAATGTACGTATTTAACAACACTCGACGATGATCCTACATGAGTGGTGATTTGTTAGAACTTTCAGCTGGACACCTCGAGATTCACTGATGAACGTTATCTAAAACCTGGAGGGGCGCAAAACAAAGTTGAGTGGGTCAGCAAAACGAACTTATTCGAAACCTTCTTTTCTCTTTTGAATATACTAACCCCTCGCTGTAAAACAAGTATAAGTTTCCTAGTAATAAAGCATATATTCATATACATAATATATATATATCAAATCATGCTGAATAATATGAACGTATGCCATGCCAAGTATCATAATAGAATGCTCAACATTTCTAAGTGAATATGATAGAATAACATAAAAGCCAATTCAATGCTCAGCTATCAACATAATTCGTATTCTTTCATCATAATCAACTTATCATAATTAACTCAGCCCTCGGCTGCCTATATAGCTCATAATCATCTCATCATATCATGTATAAATCTGTATATCTTGTACACATTCAGTACCACCTCACGTGGTCTGCATCTCATCACTGTATATATCATAATATGCTCTAGTGCTACAATCACGTGAAGCTGTGCGATAAATCGCGGGTCACCTACAAGTCGAACCCACATAAGTGGTCTATACGACAGGCTATACACCTACTTGGATCCAAGGCGAGCATGCGGTGTGGGAGGTGAACATACACGTGAAGGCTATGCCTCTCTCTAGGCGGGAGCACTTATATACGTGTGCAAGTAAATGAGCTTTCTATCACATCTCAATCATATAACTCAACATATCTCAACTATATCTCATGATCGTTATAAGGATAGTATCTCAAACGTATCACAATTATATCTCGAATCATGTCACAATTATATCTCAAACATATCTCAAATATATCTCAATCACATTTCATACATATCTCAATCATATTTCATACATATCTCAATCACGTTTCATGCGTATTTCAATTGTATATTATACATATATCAAATGCATATCGTACGTATTTCAAATGTATATTATACATATTTTTATACGTATGTCAATTGTATTTCAATAATATTCAAACGTATCTTAATCGTATTTCCATAGTATTTCATTCATTTTCAACATAATATGTCACATGTAACGTACCTGGGCCTCCTCAGCACCATGCAACAATATGTATAATTATGGTAATGCACATATCAAAATATAATGCATATTTGACAAGTTATTTAATTCGTATTTATATTTAAAATACGTTTTCTAGGAAACACGTCAAGTATACTTATATATATACTGAAAAATAACTGCCCACTCACTGATAAGTAGCCGGTTCGTAACCCCCTCGCCTATTTTGGTTACGTTCTTCGTCCGTATAATTTTCACCTATACAAAAATAATTATAAAACATTATTTAATATGCACATACACAAACATACGTCAATAACTTCTCATACGTTGCTCAATTTGGGTATGTGAATATACCACGGTGATCTACACGACGTCATGAACACGTAGAAATTTTTAGAATAATTTTTGGGCCACGAACGCGCCCCCATGCGCCAGAGGAAGGTCGGACCTACGCGCCCCCACGCGCGTCTTCTTCCTAGTCTCGTCGGACTGGTTCGCCGGAAATTGGGTATTTTTCAAAACGTCATAACTTCTTCATTTCTTCACCATTTTCAACGTACTTTATATCAAAATGAAGATATTGACGAGACGAACACATTCATACCTACCTCGACCCTTAACTCGCCGGGTATTCACTGGAAAAAGCCTCGAAAGCTCCGGTCAAACTTTGAACTTGTCGATCTCCGTGTTCTTACGTCAAAAACTTCCCAACGTTACACTCCGAGCATCCTTGGGACCTTCTAAGACTCACTGTGATCTTTGTTTAGCCTAAAACATAGCCATAATAAAGTTTATGAACAGTACATAAACACTGGACCTTTGAAACTAGAGTTTTTCGAAACGAAACTCACCTGAATTTGGTATCCCCGTGTTCGTGAAGTTCTCAGGATCACGATGGTGGTCTTAGATCCAACGTTCGTGCAAGTTTGATTGAGTTTTTGTGTGTGTGTTGCTTACGGTTCGAGAGGGAGAGTTAGAGAGAGAGAGAGAGACTGTCGAGGGATAGAGAGAGAGAGTTTCAGGTTCGTGTGAGGGAATGACGATGAGTGAAGGTATTATTGAGGGAGGCAGTGGAGCACTTCACGAGTGGAGCACTTCACGGAAAGGAAATGGAAATGGAATCGGACGTGTGATCCATTCCTTAGCCTTTAATCATTCAACATATAAAATAGCCGTCCAAACCTTAAACAATTGTATAAAGATTCAGGGTATTTAACACACTGTATACATATGACACGTTAAATCGGGACGGGTTATCACAGATGTGGTATGAGTGAAAGCCCTTTGATGCCTAGGTTAGATTTTAAGTAAGGAAATGAATCACAATCTATAAGTTTGTTACATATATATATACCAGCCTCTCCGCATGCACTAACGTGCGTGCGAGAGGTATTTTTGCATCAGGGACGCTACGCGCTCCTAAAGGTGTATTGTGTTATTTTTTTCCATTGTAATTGTCAATATATATTTTAAATGTATTGTGCAAAGAGGAACTTTTTCTTTACCATGCACATCCTAAAAATTTGTCATGTTTTTCATTTTCATTTTGCGTAAAGTAATAATTTAAATGTTATTTATGCAATTGTCAAACAACATGGGATTTTGGATGTAAGTTCCTACCTAAAGTCCATGAACAATAGTAAGTAGATGTAAATAAAAAAAGAGCATATGAAAACATTAAGTACTAGTAGAAAAATACAAAACAACTTAAATGTCAAAATATAAAACCTACATCACAATATGTACATTATTCACAATACCCATAAAATCCATATTGCATTGTTTCTTTTGAAAAGAAAGTTTACATATTGACATCAATGTAGCAATTTCCACCCATTTGTTCCTGATTGATGCTTCAAATTTTCATTGCCAATCTACAAACGATAGTGAGCAAATTAAAAATCAAATAAAAAGAGTTAATTGATAAGTGAGAATTGCATACTGAAAGGTTATTGTTAATAAAGTTGTTACCTATTAGGAATCACCATAATTAGCTGGAATGAAACAAGACTTCTTTGTATACTACATTCTGTGTAAATACACCTTGTTGGCCTACTATAGAGCCATTTTTTACTAACACGGTTGTGGTTGACTTTGAGACCCCTCTCGGTAAAGTCACATATAATTGTCCATGACTCAAGACATGATCTGGAAGGTAAATGCCTGCATGTGGTATTGTCTGATCTTGAGATTTGTTTATAGTGATAGATAAACTTAATTTCACTGGAAATTGCTTTCTTGTAAGTTCAAATGGAAGCCCAGCAATATCAGTGCTTTTGAGAGGGATTCTTGGTAAGAAAACTCTGAATCCGGCATATTGTCCAATTAGAAATTTCATTAAAATAAAAAGAAGAATTGAAAGCAAAATCAAATGTAGAAGAAAATTCCATTAATTGATAGAACACTCACGATTTGTCCAGATTCTTACAGCCTTACAGGAAGCTTTGCACTATGCATTTTTTTTGCCTGAAGCAGCAAAAGGCCCACTCCTCACATCATGATCTGGCACAATTTAAAGAAGTTGAAGTAGTAGAAAGTCTTGGCAGAACAAAATTGAAAATATAAAGCATAAACCCAATAAGAGTCATAAACTAATGAAGAAAGAATTTGAAAATTTTCATACTACTAACCCTACAATATGGTCTCGCCCAGACAACACACATCACATTTATCTCCACCGCTTACACCAATACAAATGATTTGAAACCTAATGGAAAAAGCACGATAAATAATTGGAAAATGGATTAATAGAAACAAAAACTCCCCAAAGCCAAGAGTTCCCTTGTAAGCATAAGAACCTCACCAACGGGCTTCATTGGAATGTAACGAATGCAAAGGGAAACATAAAGACACTTACATGGAGAAGAAACAAATCCAAGTTTTCACTCAAAAGAAAATAACCAACAATCATACATGAAAATAGAAGGAAAAATGAATTTGGTTAATGGTGGACAACCACTGGAAAAGAATGCAGAGATCATGGAGAATCCGAGATTGAAAGTTACGTGCGGTAAGAATCAGTCGATGTAGAGGAAGAGTCTTTGTCAATATATCTATCTGACTGTTTCTCCCTCTCCCTTGTTGTCTTCTCCTTGATTTTTGTACGACTACAAATAAATTGCCAAAATTAATATGAAACTAAACTTATCCAGTAGAGTTCATTTCCAAATCCTACTACTTTGAGAAGATTTTCAAAACCCCGTTTTCTAAAAAATTGGAATCTCTAATAACTGAAGAATCACACTATGCAAAACCCAAGTCATTTTTTAGGACGAAGAATCACAAAACCCCAAGAATTTGAAATCTCATACTTCATTTGAGGTTTTTTCTAATTGAAAACCCAACAATAATAATCCAATCGAAATTTATTGTAAAGACAAAAAGCGAAGGAAACATAGAGTGACAGATGCCACCAAGTTTAGTTTACCTGGCTATTATGTGTCACCAAGTTTACTTTCATCAACTGTAAGAGGAAATGCCGCTAACATTCAAAAATTAATAAAGGAATCCTCATGTATAAAGGAATTGAAAATACATTAGATATAAACGTTTCCTTTTCAAAACCCATTACCAAAATCCTTCACAGTTCACACCACTACTTTCCTAGCAGTTGTTTCGTAATGTCCATCACTTCCACCAGAGATTTATCACCATTTCGTACGAACTCCAAAATCTACAACACACAATCACATTAGCGAAAACTCTACTATCCTAATCCTAATCAATTCATGAGCACCTATATAACTAATGTGCCCTGTCTCCCATTATAACTAAAAACACCCCCAAATAACACCAGCTAGCCATACAAAGCCACAGACCACATCAAATATTAGGCACGATTTAGGTAACCAAATTCAAATAACATAGTTCAGATAACAAAATTCAAAGAAGTCAAAATAGTAGAAAGTCTTGGCAGGACAAAAATCTGAAGCACAAAACCAGTAAGAGTTTAGTTCAAGTTTTTTATACAATAGAAGGAAGAAAAATCAATAAAATACATAGACTAATAAAGAAAGAATTGGAAAATAATTTAAAAACCTAATGAAAAAAGCACGATTAATTGGAAAATGGATTATTATAAACAAAAACTCCCTATAGCCAAAAAATAAAATCCATTGAAATAAAAATTGTTGTACCTTGATGCTAGAATGCCACCCTTGGACGCACCTAAAAAGGGATATGTCAATGAATATTCAGCACACACTAAAGTGCTGAAAATTGATACATGCATTGAGAAAGGAAAAGAAGACTGTAAACTAAAGCATGCCCTGAAATCGTCATAGTGAGAAAACAAAAATAAATTTACAAAAGGGATGGGAAAAAAATTATTGATGAGGGACCGGAGGTAGATGAGACTTCACCTTTAACTGTTGAAGATCAATGCTATCAACGTGGGTATCAAGAAGAGGAAGAGAGCAGTTTTATTCCCTGTAAAAACGAAGAAACACAGTATTAACAATGATTCCGAATAGAACCTTGAGTAAATTTGAAGAATAGGAGAAAAGTACCATTTTATTGAGAAAATGGGTTGAACTTGATAATTTTACTCTTTACTATGTCTAAAGCAACCTCGTTCTGCAAGCATACTACAACATATAACAGATTTACATACACTAATCTGGTGAAAACGAAAATGGATTTCCTTCCGGTTATTCATCTCTAAATATTAGTGGGGTGTGGATAGTTACTGTTGAACCTCCCACTAAAAACTCAGTTCAGATTATGGGAATCCTCCAGAGTAAACCGTCAACTGGTTGGCACTTATTCCTCCTACATCATTTTTAGCAAGTATTTATTTTTTATTTTGTTTTTTTTTCCTTCAACGCAGTTGTTTTGTTTTTACCAGTTTGTCCTCATTTTCTGATTTTTCTAGATTTGGATTGTGAAGAAAACAAAGGGGCTTTCTTGGCATTTCTGAATGCTTCACCAAACTGGATATATATATATATATATATATATACTTTCATACATATATTTTGGGACATATACTTTAGTACATATATTTCAGTTCACAAGCTTCAGTACTATATTTTTGTACTTATATACTTCGGTATATATACTTCAGTACATTATTTCGGTACACATACTTCGATATATATATATTTAAGTACATTAATTTATTTAAATATATATACTTATATTTCGATACTGGCAATTGATCCTATGTTGAAAGAAACATTGGCATTGCCATCACACTGGACCCGGACCCAATCTAATTGGCGGTATGATTGGATTAAACTTGGGGCATCCTGCTATCAACCTTTTAAGCTAGCTCAACTCGAACAAAAGTATGCACAAGTACTCTTATTGCTTGCTTGACGTTCAAAAAACTGCCTCTCAGAGACAAAACAAACTACAACCAACTTCGGTATTAGGTCGGATGTAACCATTGCTCGAGATATCCAGAACACGACAATATGAAACAGGCAACGCTACAATGCATACTATTATTAAGTGAACCTTACTGCAATTAATGTAAACGGAAAGCATCTAAGGATCGATCCTCGGATGTTTGTTCCGACCTCCTTCTGTAAGGTTCATTATTGAGCTAGGAATAATCCCACTTATGTGGTTGGGCCAGTGAAACTTTTCAAAGCTTAAGGTGCTTTGTTTCTAAAAAGGCGCTGAAAAAATGGACTGAAGGATTGTGAGTCGGATCTTGACTCATGTTACAGTACAAAGGATGTTAATTGGAATGTAAGTCAGATGTGGTTTCCAAAACATTCAACTGAAAATATGAGTACACCCCTTGGAATTTAATTTTCTTTAATTAAAACCCGTCATGGTAAATTTCTCTAACAAAAACCCAATTACTAGGCTCCAACTAAGCAATATCCATAATTAAGTTTGACTTGGCAAAATTTGTATTTTTGGATGTCTAAATTACCCCTAATAACACTTACTTTGGGTCTCTAACTTATTATCTACATTTATTTTACATTATTTCATTCAATTAAATGTCTTCAAGTACCTTATGGGGATTTGGAAAAAAGTTTAAATGTCATGATTCCTATGCATTTAATAACAAAAATTTACATGATGCCAATGTTCCTTATATAGTTGTTTTCACATGATGCTAACAAGTAAATTAGTATATCCTACAAATATAATTATTCAAAATTATGAATATTTTAAATATAACATAGGTAAATGATTTTTGTCACATCCTGGCCCGGGCCCCCACCACATCTCGAGCTCGACTCCACTGTAGCACGATATTGTCCGCTTTGGGCCCCGACCACGCCCTCACAGTTT